AGCGAAACAACAAAAATGCTGAGAACTTTGGCAATACGCGTGACGTCACAGATTGCAACCAGGTTTAGACTGTGACGTCAGGATATTTACAATCCATGATTATACAGAGCTATAGGAAGGAGCTAGACACTGCTTTTTCAAATGTATAAACATGTCAGACGTGAATATTGAGAAAATCTTTGAGATTCTAGAGTCTAGACATTGAATTAAGTGCCGATATTATTTTGATTTTGACGGTAGATTTATTATACAGAGCTAGGAAGGAGCGATACAGTGTTGTTGTCAAATATATAAACATTTCACACATGAATATTGATTATTGAGAAAATCTTTGAGATTCTACGCAATATATAAATTGATGTTTTGTATTTTACCGGCATCAATAAATATTTTAAGTGCCGATACATATTGTTTAGTTCGTATATTCATTATACATCGTCTGTATAAGATGCTACACTACACCACAGAGTAGATGGCTACATCCTACACCTGTGGCAGTATAAAGAGCGAAAAATTGCATCAGATCAGAGGTATCCAACGTGTGCAGTCACGGGCCTTGTTCACATGTCTAGCACAAGTGCACAACGGTGTAAACTTTGTGTAAACAATGAGATTGATTAAGAATCTCTAACAGATCTTACGAGAATCTATCTGTGTTGAAGCTTGTCAAAACTGCAATAAACATTGCTATAAGTGTGAAACTATTGACTTCTAAAGTGACATTATTGAATACGTACGAAAAGCTGAAAATGACTCATGAAAAACAACTTGATCTTGGGAACAGTATAAGATATCTATGGTCACAATTAGGTTAAAATGGGGAAGCGGATGCGGAACGGACCGGATCCACGGAGCAGATGCGGAACGGATTTGGGGATAAAATGGGGAACAGATATAGGGATAAAATGCGTTATTTTGATCGCCTCTGTGTTTTTTATTTATTTTTTGTAATGGATTAACGTCGTATTAACTAGTTATACAGCTATTTCAATTAAAGAGAGTCACTGAAGCAATAGTCAAATGTGCAATATGGGCGCTAAAAGGATGATGGGAATAGTCATAGTTTTAAATAAGTTTAGTATATCCGTAGCTTTTAGCGGCAGCTCCCAATGCAAATATAATTTTATCCGGAATATTTGGTTGTTGGTGAAACAATTTAAATTTCGAGTTGTCGCGTGTAGCATCACAATAAATAAATAAATTGCAATTGTATCAGTTCCACGAGGCACGACGTTTCTGATGTGTTAGGCTTGTTTCAAACGTCACATGTGCCGAACGCATTAAAAACAATAGATGAGATGAAATGCCTATGCTGTTTATTTCGTAGTGTAAGCCATCAACTTTACAAAACAGAAAGTCGTCATGCCCAAATAAGAGGTCTTGCAATTCAACATTTAATAAACGAGTTACGAAGGGAGTGATATATTTTATAGTTACGAAGAGAGTGATATATTTTTGGGTATCTTGCTGGGAAAATCTTTGCTTAGCAATGTCATTGAATTTCGAACAAAATCTGCTCGTGAATTAGCTAAAATAATGGGATCTATTATTTCCATAGGCCCTGTGTTGGCTAGATTTGCATGTATAATGACTCGACATTGTCAAATAACAGTAGCTGCAGGGCAAGATTGGGATACGAGATATGCATTAGACAATTACTGTTAGTCTGAAATTAGTTTCTGGTTGGAAAGTTTACACTGCTTCAATCGCATAGCACACAACAAAATAGTTTATTCTGACGCCACAGCGCGTATGCTTGTGGGGCATTAGTAAAGGGTGAAAACCAAATGGTTTGTTAAAAATGTTTACCCCCCAAGGAGGTGTCCTGTAGTTCAATCACAGGAGCGCATGCATCCCGGGTCTAATTGAAGCTATGTATTAGAATTACGTATGAAATATATATAGCTCGGTATTGAAGCCTGCGATTTGCCGGCTGTGTGCGGGCTAACGTGCGTTCTAATCCATAGCTTCAGTAAGACCCGGGATGGGCTCCCTGTGGTTCAACACATCATGAACTGATTACCATACTGTACAGTTCAGAAGCCTTTGTGGAAAAATTGTTTAATTCCCGTATTAAGTGTTCCGCGCAAAAGAACTTTTAACATCAGAGTACGGGACATCATGTGGTTTGACGATAATTTCGTCATTAATGTGCCACTCAGAAAGCAAGACGGACATCTATATACAGTAGACAAGGTCAGCACGTATTTATAGCAAGATCCAATGCTGAAACATGCATGTCCTGCAGGTGTTTTAGTAAACAGATACATCGAGAAGGCGAACATCTTGAATCTAGTCTATTTTAAAATCAGTAGATAGTTGCACTTTAGTAAAGAGAGTCGTGTCCTACACAAGATTCCGCGAGAATTCCAAAGAAAGTCTTAAAGAGTTAGGCTACGATGAAAAGTTGTACGGATTGCATAGTTTTCGTGCTGCTGGTGGTGCAACTACAATTGCTAAAAATTTGACAGCTCCTAATAAAGAGAGATTGTTAAAACTACATGGATGGTGGAAAACAGACATTAGTAAAGACATGTACAATAAAGAAGATAAAGTAGAAAGGCTTATTTATGGTCTCCAAAAGCATGGCCTTTAGATGTGTGAATAAGGTCGAGTGCATGCATGTGGGTACCTGTTTGCCAAGACAAGCCTAGCCTATAATAACAAATCAGTTTGGTTATTGTATTGTGTACAGAGGAATGGCGAACTAATAGGAAAATGCTTTTTATTCGAATAGCATGCATGAGGGAGAATGAAAGTTGAATTACATGTCCATAGCTCAGTAGCCACATGTTTGCAATCTCGGCGGGTGACTGTAGAACATTTTTAGTGGTGGACTGTGGACAGTCGGATTCGAGAGTAATTTTTTTAGAGGGGGCGAATTTAGGTTGCCACCATAGGCACTTTCTCAGCTCTTTAACTTTTTGCCTATATATAAAAAGCCTGATACTCCGGTTATAACAAATAACGTACCTTTTGCATATGCAATCTAATATTTCTTCGTTCTTTGCAAGCTCTGGTGTTCTTTCGTTGCTTGTAAACTTTGGTGACCTGATGTTAACACAGTAAAAATTTAAAATGAATTTTTTTGTGTAACCAAGCTTTACAATACACTCTTTCGGGAACTACATCGTATTTGAGACATTGCCTTAAGAGTCCTTGATCTTGTTACTGATCACAAAACATTAGAAACAGGTCTTCTGTATTCACTGATGTAACTGTATGGTGTTGTAAATGTGTCTGACCTCTAACAAGATAAAGGGCTCTAAAAGTCTAAACCCATGCAATATCTCACACGAAAACAGGGCCAGTGCATCTTTTAAGGATTCTTCAGTGGTGGGGCAAAACTGCCAAAGGGCCTATTTTCCTTGCCCTCTCTCCAGGATAGTATGCGATCGCCGAAGGTGTGAGGCATGTCCTCCCAGGAAATTTTTAAAATGTGCGTCTCTGAAATGGCATTTCCTGCATTCTCATTTTTTTGGAAATCTCAGCTTCTCAAAACAAAGTTCTAATGGTGAAATTTGTAATAAATTGCATGCTAAACATTCAAACACAACATAAGTTTAAGTATGCTCACCAACAAATTTTGTTTTTTAAACGTCTTTTCAATGTTAAACTCATTTACTCAATACAGGTCCTAGCCTTAGGTCCTTGGCTTTGGGGAAATAGGCCATTTTTTTCTTCAGTGGTGGGGCAGAGGAAGGGGCCCAGTGGGGCAAATCCCCACCACTCCATGGTATTAAAAATGCCTTGAACGGGGTTATATATAGCAAAGACTGAGATTTTACGGAGAGGTGTATTAATTAACTTTGTTCTTCAAAACTTGACATCATGTACAGCGTATGCTATAGAATATTTAATTGATCTACTAAACAGGCGTACCTTTGCAGTTTATTTCTTTGTGCCTTCAATTCTCTCATTTTATCTCCAATTAACCCAGCAACAAACTGGATCACTAAATACCACTTGGGAATCTTGATGTGCTCAGATAAAAATGGTTCAACATTTTCCATATCATCAACTACGTGTAATGCTGCAAGAAACTCTTGAATAGTCAGATGAAGAAAACAGAAAATGTTCTGTCGTTTGTCTTCCAGTTTATTGAATAAACCACAGTCAGACAGCTCAGAAGCAGATTCATCATCATTTTCAAACTCGAATATTAACTGGTCTTCTATCATTCCGTTTCTTGCAATACCATTAAGTGCATTCAAGTCGTTTTGAAGCGGTTCAGGAAGCTTTCCGGTAATATAGTTCTTTGGAGTTGGTTTATCCTTGTATCCTAAATGGTGCCTGAACAGTAAAATCTTTATAGCTCTTTTGTACAACTCCGTAATTGTTCTTGGGACATTGCTCTGACCTTCAACTTCAATGCTTTCCTTTAATGTTAAACACACTATATAGGAATTAACAGGTATGTAACATAAGCTTAAAAGCTCTGGTGACTCCTTGATCAAGTTCCATATCTCAGAACGTTTCTGGATGTCATGACGGCAAAACTTTTCAACATAGTCTTTGATTTGTTCCTCATGAAACCCCAAGATCTCGATCTCTCGATCAAATTCTAGGGCTTGATAAATACGCTCTCCCGTGGGTCGAGACGTGGTTAATAATGTGACTCCAGGCAATAGTGTGCCTTTTACTAACTCTTTAAAAATCTGGAATATATGCGAAACTTGATCGGGACTATTTATAGAATATTCATTGGCTAAAAACCCACGATCTACCTTTAGGTTTAGTTCGTCTAGCCCGTCAAAAATAAGAATAACATCACTTGGTATCAAACAAACGTATTCATAGATATAATTCAAATCAGCTAATGCCATATTAAGTCCATCGGAATTGCTCAGCATGTTTCGAAGACTTGTTTGCCCCTTGTTAAAAGCACGAAATCGAATTAAGATTACTATTTTATTATGCCAAAATTTGGATATTTGTTGTTGCCACTGATAGAGCAGTTTTTTCGTCAGGAGAGTTTTGCCAATACCTGGTCTGCCCACAACAAGAATAGTTTTGGGACGTTTCTCGCAAGCACCTGTGGGTTTAAATAAATCTGCCATTTTCGTAAGGGTAGTCGCATCTGCTGGTGCTTTAAAATATATTTTGTATACCTCTTGCCTATCTTCAAACCATCTTGCACAAGTACTTTCCCTTCCCTCCTGAATTATAACATTGACATACATCTCTTCCAGTTTTCGACGTGACAAACGTTTCTCACCAAAATCATCATGCAAATAAAATATTTCATCGGATATGTTTTCTCTAATCTTTTTCATTAACTTTCTGATTCTTTTACGCTTTCTCAAAAGGTAAACACAACAAAACTCAAGGTCAATAAATAGATTACGATCTTTCCATGTTGACCACAACAGATACGCAAGCTCCATGAATGCTACTACTCCAAAAAATAAATCTATTGTAACAACGGTGGCAGCTAGTTTTTCTTTATTGCTACCCATAAGATAAGTACAGTCCACAGTTGAAAAGTTCATACTTTGATTTTGTGTAAAGTTTCCGCGGGAAGTACTCGTGACTTGCTTTGGCCAAGGACAATCATATTGGACTGGAAAATGTGATGAAGTTAGGAGGAATGTCGCAAATACTACCAATGGTACTATACGGCAAAAGATCAAATGCATAATGTAAACCGTGAAAATGATATGACCACCAGGATTTCGGCACGCCTTAGGGTCCGATGCAGCCCGTGATATACCCAACAGTGGCCGACTTTCCTCTTCGCCGCCATTCGTAGCCGTACTCGGAGGATCAGCAAAAATTTCAACACGTTCCTTCACCGAATAAGCGTAGATAATATTAAGTAAGAGCACAAGTCCAAAATTTATCATAAATAGGTTGTGGAGTGGCAAAGAAGGGTAAAATTCCTGTGCGTATTTGAGAAGACACTGTGTTTCGATATACTTCCTTGTTGATAAGTCGCTCGCAAGTGTCTTGTCTGGGTTACATTGTAACGTCGCTTTCGAATGAAAATCAGTCGCTATCCCGATTAGAACAACACCAATTAACACAAATAAAGTAAGGAACAGCAAGCTATACTTGTTGTAGCTTTTATTTGGTAGTAATTTTAAACAGCTTTCCATGTTTACGTGAGTAAATAGTGTCGCAAGCTTCGATAGATCGATACAATTCGGATCACGCGACCTAAAAAAGGAAATGGTCCAAATTCCAATATCTTAAGAGGCGATACGCATCAGAAACAGTATTACAAGACCTTACAAGTGTACCAGAATCAACATTTATCAACTGTATTACAAGTCTTACAACTGTAAAATATATGTCCAAGCTATGTCACAATAGTTGAAAATGGGGAGTATATATCTATAGTATATAAATTATCTGTACAGGATATTGGCAACATGCTTCGTAATCATGATTCAATATTTCAATTCTTTCTTGAAATCCGTTTATACCTGCTTAATCCTGCTTTAGTTAGAACATAATGTAGAGGATTTTTCCATGACAGACGTTCATCGAGAATTACCCGCAGATATTTGATTAAACGTGCATAAATACAAATATCTTAAATGATCAATATCAATATTTGAATATTGACGGTTAAATTTTTGGCATCGGGACAAGTTAACCTGCAATCACTTTCAAAAGTTGTTGGGACACATGTAGTTTTAGATGTATGTATGTGTGTATGTATGTATGTAAACTTTTATTTAAAAGCAAAAAGGAAAAAAAGAACGACGCGAGCCTCATCAGCTACAAGCTGGTTTCCATGAGAGGCGTCGGAACACACTTGAATAAATAAAGTTATTTACAAGAATATTTACAAGATATTTACAAGATTAGGAAGAAATAAGTAAGTTATGTATCAAGACTATTAATATTCATTTTAAAGGTATAATCAGATTGAGCTAGTTTTGCTTGCAAAGGGAGGCTATTCCAAAGTTTCACTCCGCTAAATTTAAAGCTATTTTTGACGGGAATTCTCTTTTGGGATGTGGGAGAACCAAATCAGTACTCGAATTTCTTGAAGATTATAATTAATTTCCAGAGCACTAATCCTAGTGAACGATTCTTTCAAACTCGATGCACCTTGATTATTTAAAATTCTATACATTAAGATTGCTTTATTTCTTTTACATCTCACTTCTAGTGCTAATTCCCAACCAAGAATTTCTGTACTAGTACCATTAGGCTAATACTGATCAACCGAGTATCAAACGCATGTAAATAACTGAGAAACAAATGTAAATGTAACAAGACGCCTGCTCAGGCATTCACACTGGCCTGAAAATGGCAACTTTCGTGGCACTGGGTGTAATGTGTAGTAGAGAAGTAGATAGGGATACAGGATCATAGGGATACTGGATCATATAAATACAACCAATAAATTCAATCATGATCAGCAACTATCAACCATAATATACCAAGACGCCGGCTCAGACGTACCCTCCGGCTACGGGCAGCTCAACGGCTGACAAGCCAGGCCCACTGTAACTACGATCATCAACTATCAACCGTAAATAATGACGGGCTAATAATAGCGAAGAAATTATATAGTCCTTGATTATTAATGCCCGTTATATGGCTAGTTTCAGGTGCTAAAAAGTTCATAGACATAGACGATTCTTCTAAAAAATACGCCAATTTGTTTCCATTTATAAGATAAACTGATCACCCAAAGCCCTTCTCTAACCCCAACCAGTAAACATCTAATAAATAATTGAGAATTAAAAAAGTGTGGGGGGGGGGGG